CACCACGCGCGACTCGATGAATCCAGCCATCCTAAATATGATGATCAATCAAATGGAGAATGTATCTATTAGTTTTAATTTAAAATATTTAAGTGCAAACACTCTTCCAAGGAAAGTAGTATTCGATATGCAAAAAGATATGCAGAGCATGTTTTTTTTACCCACTTAGTAGCATAGTTGAACAGATGGAGTCTTCGAGGTACATAACGGCTGAACGAAAAACAATGTTTAACAAGATACTCGGAGATATGTGTAACAGCGATACAGAGCATAAATTCGTGGAAAAACTGAAGGTGAATAATTTGTATGTAGAACCGAGGGAATTCGTAATAAGTAATGAATTACACGCCCAGGTATTCCGCATTTATATTTAGCATAAAATGACTAATGACCCTATTACTGGTAATACAATCATTTATTTTAAATAATTAAATATTTGATAACTAAACATAACATATTTTTACATTTAGCAATTCTGATGCCTTTGAAGTTTCAACTTCGGTAATATATGGAATCAGATGGTGTAATGGATACTATATTTCACAACTTAACGCCATCAAGTGACGGATACATTAGAACCATGATTGACGGTGACCTCTGGAAGAAACGCACAATCTACTCGACGAATAAGTTTATAGTACCGTTGAATTTGTTTTTTGACGATTTTACAACTGGTGATACAGTTTCATTACATGCAGCCACAACTTCTATTTGCGGCATCTATTATTACGTCCCCTGTTTGCCTGCACACATTCTGACAAAACTTTCGAACATTCATGTTGCTGGATTCATACTGTCGGAGGATAGGAAAGAATTTGACAATAAGCATCTTTTTCATAGTCTTGCAGATACACTGATTGAACTTGAGACTAATGGAATAGAGATACACATTAAAGGAGACATAAAAGTTGTTTATTTCATGCTAGGTTTCATTACCGGTGATAACTTGGGGCTTTCCGGTATTTTAGACTTAGTTGAATCCGTTCGTGCCAATTATTATTGCCGCATATGTAAGAGAAATTGACATCAGAGGGAAACTGATACTATCGAGTATGCAGAAACTTTCAGAACTGTTAAGAGCTACGATGAAGACTTAGACATGGATGATGTATCACTAACTGTTGTGAAAAAAGAAAGCATTTTCAATAAGATTCCGTCTTTTCACGTGACATTTAACATATACTTTGATATGATGCACGACCTTTGGGAAGGAGTATGTATTTATGGATTTTTTTTTTCCTCTGTTCGGGACATAAAACCACTGCGACCAGTAATTTGATCTATTGTAGTATATCCCGTGTCCTTAGTTTAGTGCATGTCGTATTACTCCATCACTATTGAGAAATGATGAAGTATTCGGTTTTGATACAGTTGTCATTCTTGCCTTTATCGCAAGGAATCGATTCTAATTGAAAGGTCCCGCTATTTATACCCTTCGGAGTGTTGAAACACCCTCCAAAGGCGCGCCCCTTTGTCAGTCAAAATTGGATTCCTTAGCAAAAAAACAAGACATGACACCGATAATGACCATGCATCAGAACCCTAGTCTTAACCACTTCAAACTAGGAAACAACGAATAGAAGATTAGGAATCACATAGGTGAAGACTAACTAACTCATTTTTTCCTTGTTTCAAGATCATCCTCGGTCCACGCAACCCGAGGACTTATCACTATCAACAAGGCATAAAAAGTAACAAGGACTAAGATGTGTTTCTTTGATTACTGTAAAATCCTGTTCCCCTAGTTTGAAGTAGTCAAGACTAGGAATCGGTGGTAGATCTTACATCCCGTAACGTACCACGAAAAGGTGATCTACCCACGTTACGGGGCGATTTATGGATTAGGACATTATTTGAACTATTTTATTAATATTAAGAAAATGTTCTCTCTTGAGGAATTCAATTTTAGAAAAAATACATTTGTTTTCGGAAACCTTAATTCGTCCAATATTCCAACCGATATTAAAGAAATAAATATATCTAAGAGTAAAATCAAAATGACTGCAAGCGAAATAAAAACGTTAGTCAACCTCATTCCACTAATTATAGGAAGATTAGTGCCAGAAGAAGATGAGGTTTGGAAACATTTATGTTTAATGCTTCAAATCTGCCACATTCTCATGCTGCGTGAAATTCCAACAGAGTACCTGCAGATTTTGAAAAAGTATTCACAGTATTTGACATTGTTTAATGACACGCTAAAGCCCAAACACCATAATTTATTGCATTACACTACATTCATATTACAATCAGGTGCTCCTCGACATCAATGGGCTATGCGAGGTGAGGCAAAACATAGAGATTCAAAACAGTATAGTAGAGCTACCAACAACAAAATAAATTTATGTAAATCTCTAGCAATTAAAGCCGGATACAAATTTGCGTCCAAGGTGATGAATAATAGTTTTTTGGAACCAACAATAGATTTACGAGAATCCAAAATATTAAATGCGCCAATTTGCGAAGAACATAAGTCCCTGTTGAGTAGTTATGGTACGATTGATAATAATGTTTTACGATACGTGGATAAATTTAAAAAGCAAGGGATGATTTTCAAGCCGAATGTGCGCAACCTCATCAGCATTCATGAGTTAGAGAAGATAATACTAAACAACGACGAACAACTAATTTTAATTTGCTTCAATGTTCACTCCCTTGGGTTTAACGACCATTTGCAGCCATTTGAGGTTTGCAAAACTACTGAGAGAAAAATAATAAATAACATTCAAAATATTGCAATGAAAACGATTAATTTACACAAAGTAAATCAAAAATTATTATTCAGATACTGTAATTTTGTAAGTATAATAAATATTGTTTGACATCCTAAAAATGATTTTAATTGTTTGATTTCAGCTAAAATTAAAAGAAACAATATGGAAAATAAATCAAATATCAGGTTATTTACATCAAATGTATTTTTTTTTAAATCAACAAAATATTTTCTTTGAAACAAAATCTTTTTTTTTTGTTTCAAAAAGAAGCGGGTGATTGAAACAAAATATATTTGTTTTAATTCAAGAAACGTCATGATCAGCGAATCCAAACACATAAAGCAACCAACGATACAGACAAAACGGTTGCTACGACTACCATGACAAACTCGCTCTATAACATAGCTCGATCCGAGTGGTAAAAGGATAATGATATATTGCTTGGGGGCTGTTCATAAACTACGTAGACAGTTTAGAGGGGGGGGGGGGGGTTGACAATTATCCACGGCCCATACAAATTTTAATATTTTTGTATGGACAATTGTCTACGCAGGGGGAGGGGGGGATCAAGAATCCCAAAAAAAAACTGTCTACGTAGTTTATGAACAGGCCCTTGCCTGCTTTGTTGCAATATACACGGATGAGGACATAGCTTGATATGAATCGAGAAAAGACATAACAAAAAATTCCCATTAACACACGTGTATTATCTTCGGCTCTACTTCGTGAAGCAGTTTGCCAACAATTTGCTCGTTTCCTTCTACCGCCCCGAGTGAGTTGTGTCGCACGGGCTGCTTGTCATGAAAAAGAACGAAGAAGATTATATCAATATTGCTTTGCACTTTTGACATAGCGTTATTATTCGGTTCGTTGATCGCTTGTCATTTTGTCATTTGGAGATATTTTTGATTCCTTGGTCATGATAGAATCAAAAAAAAATATTGTTGAATGTGCTCACAGTCACATGGAAAGTTGATTCTAAAAACAACAAACATTTTTTTTTTGAATCTATTCGCATTTATTTTTGGTTCAAAGAAAAAATCTGCATAGGCCCTGGTCTACAATATTTTTTGTTGATTTCAATGAGATTTATTTTTAAAATTAAAAACCATTTCTCTGCGTGAAATATTAGAGATTTCTTCAACACCAATTTCGCAGTTCTAGCCTGTTCGCAACCCTATTTTTAATAAATCTTTTTAACGCAAATTTGGTAGTGGTGGTGATGTGATTTGATGTGGTGTTTTTAAAGGCATATTATTTACTATTTATTTACTGGTTGTAAATATAAATATGTCACATTAGATTTCAATTTTGTTTTTAAATAGTGACTTTTGGATGAAAAAACTTATTTTTAGTGACTAACTTCAAAATAGTGACCTAGTCACTAAAAAGAAACCTGCCACCAGCCCTGTAATTGCGAATTCATGTCTTTTCGGGTTTGGAACCAGTTCTAACCTATAGTCGCTATAGAATTTCGATCTATCAAAAAGCGGAACCAATTCAATATATTTTAGACCAACAATTGAAAAGGTACTATCAACTTTTATAAACAAAACGTTGATTATTCTTTCCTCACTAATCGAACGCAAATTACCAGCATCATCGGATAAGGGAAACTTTCCTCAACCCAAAGATGGTGTTAGTTTGCGTAGGCGAGCATTGAGTCACGAGAAAAGAGTTTCCGAAATTTTGTTCGCAATAGCTGATGCGCTCTTTTCTGTTGTTGGTCGTGATTTGTTCGATTGATTCCGATATTTGACAGTTCAATTGGTTCCCAGGATTCTATCCGCCAGACTATGAATATAGCGACTATAGTTCTAGCCCAGTGCTAGACCGAACTTTTTGTTAGGGCGAACCTCAAATTGTGGTTTTATAAACAATCCACATACTGACGTTTGTCAAAAAAGCCAATCTTGATACCCGATCCAGATTTGAACAAATGTGGATTATATATAACGCACAATCGCCCCCCTCTTGCCCTTGAAAACATCTTACATTCATAAATTTGTTAATTTTGCCATAGAAAGCCAACAACAAGAACGAACAACTAAGATAGGCTCTTTTGACATTTTACGCGAGATTATTGTTGTTATTGTTATTGCTCAGTTCACACCCTGGCCGGCTGCTGCCTACCGATCTGCACTTAAGCCAGGCATGAACCTACGGAAATTTGTCGTGGCCTATGCTAGACCGTATAGCATAACGACTTTCCTTTGGGACGCAGGTCCCAATAGCGTCGGATTAGGGGATAGTAAGAGATTGAAAGAATAATCCAAATAAACTTACTTGTTCGGGAAAAGCCGCTTCAGGTTATCCGAATGTTTGCTCCGCAACCGTTTGAATTCGGCTTCCCTTCCGTTCAGTTGCTGCTCCTTCAAACTTAACTCGGTCGCCTTTGCCGCAATGGCATCCAACGAGGAAATGAGTTCCTCCACCTTATCCAGCTTAGTCTGAAGCTCCTCACGTTTTACCTTCTTCTCTGCTAGATTACGCCTCATTCCATCAACATTCGAGCTTGCCTTCTGACTCTCGTAATCCTTTTCAAGTTTTTCGATCTCGCCGACAAGTTTCTTCAGCGTTTCCGCAGAACGCTGGATGGTTGCGATCTCCGACTGAGTTTTAGCCTTCTCCCTGACGAAATCCGCTACCATTTGACCCTTCATGCGAAAGTCCGCCTCCAGTTTGGTTTTTTCCTCTCGCAACTTATCGATTGTCGTCTGTGCTTTATGATCCATCTCATCGTGGCTTTTGGCCATCGCCTGAACGGCAGTTTCTTCGGCTCTAATGCCGTGTTTGATTGCTTGTAGTGCTCCTTCTACTTCGGCTCCTCCTGCCTCGTAATCACCGCCAGATGGAAGCTTCAAGCGTTCACAGAGATTTACTATCTTATTAGCTCGATCGCCGCTTAAATCTTGCTCCTGTTGGCGTTTGGCAATCAAATGAACCCGGCGGGATTCCAAGTCTTGATTCTTTGATTGAAGAGACTTGTCTTGAGCCTTGCGGGAGCTCAAATCCGATTCGGCGTCTCGAAGCTCCGATAACTTTGTACTTTTCGACTGCCGGAAGGTACGAATTTCGATTTCCAACTCTGGCAAAGATCCTTTGAACAGGTTTTGAATTTTCGAACGAAGTTGATTCTGCTGGTCTTCCTTAGTGTTGATTCTGTGAAATAGAAAGATTGCATTATAAAGTTTTAATTGATTCCATAAGTAAATGGCTGCTTACTTTGACTTGAATTCGATTTCCTGCTGCTTCAGCTTAGAATAGTCTCGCTCGATCTTGGCAATCTGCTCCAATCGGGTGTTAATCGGTTTCAGAGACCCCTCCAAGCTTTCCACCACCCCTTGTTTGTCTTCTCTGCTTTTCTCCACCTTCTGTAGGTGCAAATGTTTAATTTCGGCCTGGCTTTTGATATTTTCCAGCAATTTTAGATCTCCTGCCTTCTCCTTTTGCCGGTCATTGTATTCTTTAGATATCTTAATCAACTTCTCTATCACCCTGTTGTATTCAGTTGTTCCGAAAATGGCATCAAATTTCTTTTTTAACTCTTTTGGTTCCTCCAGTGGCCAGTTTGAATCTTCCTGGTGGCAGAAAATTACGTTGTTGATAATGGCTTTTGATACTCCCATGGCATCACACATGTCATTGTTGATATCCGTTGCTCGCGGGCGCGACAAAGTGGTCTTTTCTCCGGATGTAGCATTTTCCATCGTTACAGCCGAATCCAACGTTTCGAACTTGGGTTGCTGTCCTCTACCTTTCTGGGAAACCTTCATCGAGCGAGTAGCGGTTACACGATTCCCAGTAAAATCCTTCACCATCAGCTTGACCTGGCCCATACTCTCGACGGTGCTGAAGATCTTCGGATCGTGAACGAACGCCTTGCCACGATCGGTTCCGGGAGGAACTTCTCCGGTGAGCCCATACTTAAGACACTCAATGATTGTAGTCTTACCACAACCATTCTGGCCAACGATCAGCGTTAGAGGAGATTGGAACTTGATTTTCTAGTTGAAGTAAAGAAAATTATACAACATAGTATACATTAGCATACATATTATAGGTTTGCAGGCCTTTTTCAATGATGTTACTCACCTGAACATCTCCGCTTTCAACGCCGAAACTGCGAATGCCACGAATTTCCAATTTTGAAATAGTGGACATCGTTACGACATAAAACTATCGCTGTATGCTGGAGTTCAATCGAATATAAATTTACTTACTCCTTCACAAGTCCACAAAACTAATTATTGCTCAACAGCAAAAATAAAACACGATAAATCCTGACTTGCCGGTTGATGGATGAGGATTCTTGGAGACTGTGTGTTAGTGTGAAACATAGAAAATAAACGCGCGAATGTTGTTTTTGCGCAATGACCCTGTAGAGGTACACCAGAAAAGGAATTTGTTGGTATTCGTAGCAAAAAAGAGGAAAACAAACGATGCTGGCGAACACTGTTCTAAAAATTTGGCATTAAAAAGTGCAGTTTGACGTCACAGAAGATATACACACCCACAAACCTATCATATATTATGAACAGAATCACCCACGCAATGAGCTGCATTACCGAGGTGAAGCTGGAAAAAAGTACCCAAAATTAAGTTCTTTTCACTCATCTCGGCACTATAGTGCAGGCACCCAAAAGTAGGTAAAGCGGGTCAAAGTAATTTTCATTTACTTGTGCGCAGCTCGTATGGAATTTTCCACTGGCTTTTTAACCAATAGTAAGTTACTTGTACCCAACAGTAGGTAAATATGATTATACTCAACGTTGGGTTCCCACACTTTACTACCCCTGTTGGGTGGTTTTGCTCGTCCGTAACTGGCCGTTGGGTACTTTTTTCTTACCGTGTGAATAGAACCCCTGTACGATACATGCAATAAATGACGTTACGTGACGTTGATTTTTTGGATTACTAATACAACTATATTTCACGATCTGTCTCACCTCTTTCTGTAGTCATTGTCACCCACCCCCTTTCAAAATTTGAGCAACTTTTGAAAATGAGCACATGCGCAGGGCGATCACTGTTGATTCAAATTATACACTCAAAAATATAACTAATCGGAAATAGAATAACATTTTTTTGCTTTTGTTTATTAAGCTTCCCGAAAAAAGAAATAATTATTTAGTTGAAGACCCTAATAAAAAATAACCATAAACGAACGACAACCCAAATCATTGAACTATTCCACAAATGGTTTGGATGATACCCAGAACACGTCGTTAAGCAAATTAACCATACAATTTTTATTAGGGGATGCTAATTTCAAATAACAGACTACACGGAACCAAATTTTGTTCATTTAAGTTAAAAATATATATGTTTATTAAATAAAAATATGAATAGTTCAAAGTAAATTAAAAACATGTTTTCAACAAAAATATATATGTTTAAATTAAATTCAAAAGCATGTTTATTTCAACAATACATAATGTGGGTAATCAATTTTTAGCGTGTCCTTTTTCCTTCTTGTTTACATTCGGCAAACTTAACCGAAAACCGAGGGGCAATTCACTGCTCTCGAGAATGAATCGAAAATACGTAAATGAAAAAAATACACAAAAATTCATCATTACTCGTCATTACTCAAAAAAATGCAAAAAAATACAAAATTCGGAAAAAATACACATTTATTCGACGAATAATAAAAATACACAATAATTCGTCATTTGCACGAAAAATTCGAAAATATGTTCAATCAAAACGCTGAATTTGAACAAAATGCGTAAATCTATTATTTTGTATTTTAATCCGAGCTCGAATCACAAAACAATGCATTTATGAGTAGAATTTCACCCATTTCTAAGAAAGGTGGCTTAAATCATTTATTAAATAAAAAAAACATTAATGAGTAGTTGTGACCCAATGAGGTACAGAGAGAGGTGAAGCAGATCGTGAAATATGGTTGTATTAGTAAACCAAAAATGAACGTAAACGCAAGTAGTGACGTCACTAATTGCTTGTATCGTACAGGGGTTTTACTCACACAACTTAACCGATTGCTTCACCTCGGTAATCCAGCTCATTGGTTGTGACCCACAAATAAGTACCGATTATTCCCCAACAAACATTGAATGCTGAATATGAGCTTATTCAGGCAAACATTTACTTCTTCAGGTAAAAAATTGCTTATTCAGCTTTTAGTCAGCTAAAATTGTTTGTTGGGTCATTAATGCGTAACAACCTTGGTAACAGATGCTTATTAATGCGTAATGAGCGAGAATGAGTTTATAAGATAAGTCTCTATTCTCTAAAATGGGTTAGATTCTACTCATTAGTGGGTATTTTAAAGTAACCGTGTGTTTTGCACTTGTCAAACAAAACGTCAACATTGTGAGTTTGATCCTCGGTTCGACAAACATTAACACTGAAATGACAGAATACGCTTATAACTGATTTTCAATTCATTAATGCATAAAAATACACTTTTATTTTTCTAATACACAGAAAATTACATATATTCAAAAAGTGCAAAATAATACATTATTACACAAAATATACGTTTATTCGATAAAAAAATACTTCAATACGTTCATCAATGCGTTGGCCTGAATCGAAAATACACAAGTGAATCGCCCCTCGCCGAAAACGGCCTGCAAGCGGCGAAACCGAAGTAGAGGGTCCGGAAACCAACGCAAGCAAGTGTTCCAAGCTCGACAAAACCGGTGGAACATCACAATATTAACGTCAATCCGTCGTTTCTGATGCCGATCCCCATATCATCCTCACCCCCCACCCGACGTCGAAAGAAAAACAGATCATCCCCGAACACTAAACTTAGAAAGAGGCCGGTATGAGGACCAGCGTCAGAAACGAAAAATGACGCTAAAATCACAAAGTTTCACTGGTTTTACTGAACTGGATCGGATCGGACACCCACCCCGGATCCAAACATCCACAGACTTTCCATAATAGCAGAAATTTCCATTTATTTGCTATCCATTTTATTTTGATTTTTTCAGCATTCAAATGCTAAAATAATTTCAAAATATGTTTGTTTATTACATAAAAAGCATGTTTAAAATAAACACATTAATTTTTGATAGCATATAGTTTTCAAATAAATCAAAAATATTCACGTTTATTTTCAACACGAATATTTTTAAAATAAACGTAACATTATTTTTGTTTTAAACATTATTATCAATGGATTCAAACATAGAATACGTTTGAAATCAACCTAGTTTATGTTTACGGCCAGAAAAAAACTGAGTTTACGTTTAAATTTACCTCAAATATTTTTGTTTCGACGGTAAATTATTCTGCGTGTAAAGTGGTAATTTGTATACGATAGATGAGGAGATGAAAGTATAGAATTGATACACGGTAACCAGCGTAAACACATAAATGAGTAAAAAAATACACATTTTTTAAATATCAGTGCCAACATTTCAAAAGGGCGTAATTGATTTTGTAAACAATGGCTTTAGCCGTGGATTTCTCCCTAATAAAAGTTCGCCTCTCCCAATTTAAAAATGCTAGCTGGTAAAGGTAACATTCCTCTATCTACTGGTGTCATTAATCTTCATGATTGAGCTTTTATTCACGAGAAATCGAAGGCTAAAGCCATTGTTTACAAATGCAATTACGCCCCTTTAAAAAGTTGACACTGATATATATGCAGCTGTCAAAAAATGTGTAAATTTGGAGATCCTAAAATGTGTAAAAAAATACACATTTTAAGAATGTAGTACCAGTCAAAAAATGTGTATATTTATACTCATTAATGGGTAAAAAAAAAACTTCAAACTTTGCTGCATCCTGCTTTGTTGACGCACGCCATTTGCTAAATTTTCAGTGTACACTACTAAAATTCCACACATTTTTATTGACGAATTTCCATGTGAAATCAGAATCACAGAATCCACCCAGAAGCACACATGAAATTTATTAGTCAAATGAATAGTATGTGTGGTTACACATGGCTTTTTTGTGTACACATATTAAGTATGTGTCCGACACATAAATATCATTTGTTGATCACATTGCAAAAATTCATGTGTGGGACACATAAAAACAATCTTTGAAATTTTATCAGTGTAGATTAATGGAGGAGCTACGGTCCAAACTGGACAGTGCACAACGATGGACATGCTAGACACCATCCCTCTCCAAAGGGGAGTTTGGTAAAGAGAGATGATAAAACTGATTTGTACCTTCCTAAAAGTTGTCTAGCTCCCTTTCTACTTCTATATGCAATTTTCACACTCCGATTCAGGAATATTTATTTGTATCTTTATCATCCCGACCCCCAATCTGTTGGCAATTTCCAACAGTTGATGTGCTGAAAATGATTCAACAGTACTATTCCGGAATACAGTCAACTAAAGAACCGAATGCAGAACTTAGAATCTGCACTGCAGGAAGAGGAAACAGTAGAGGAGCACACGTTGGATAGTCCTTTGGGGACCAACGCACAAAGAGAGAAAGCAGTCCTACACACACAAAATAAGCATTGATAAAATTAAAAAGTCCGTTCGAAAATTAAAATGTTTGCGTTGGTTCTTTTTGATAGAAAGCGGTTAACTTTCAATCCGAAAGTCAGCCAACCATTAAATCAAAAACTTTCAAAATTAATTGTTCTTCTGTCAAATGAACATCTTGGCAGTGTTGGAATTAAAAGTGGATTCTTGTTATTTCAATACAAACTTTTGGATTTGGATGGTGATATAATTAAAACGCAGTAGTGATATCGTAACCAATGAGGTACAACCAACAATCAATACGAAACTAACGATTTTAAATTGGCTCACCACTTTAGTAGCCTATTGGTCCCAAGCAAACGATAAACGTACCCTATTCTAGTCGAAATTCTAGTACTACGCAATGTTTGTTTTGATTCGCTATGAAAGTTTGACAGATAAAATGAGGGGTTATTGGTTTTTCCTATGTTTCGAGGGGTGGTTCGACAAGCTTGGGACCGAAGATAGTACCAGAGGTGAGCCAAAAAGTTGAGCACGTTTCTTTGGGACCTACTTGTCTTAGAGTTACCTCTATGGTTGACTCCACCCCCTTTCGTTGTTTCACAGTGGTTTTCCGCTCAGGTCATGCAGGCCAACTTTTACATTGAAGGCAGAGGCTATAAAGTACTTCAATAGGGCTTGATACTTCTCTGACAGAAATTGGATTACGTCGTTTTCCAGCGGCACGTACTGAAAAATGTAAACACACCGTCCTTGCCAATTTAGCAGTCTGATATAAAAAATAATCTATAAATCCGGAACTATAATATTGAAAATATTGTTTTTACTATTTGGAACAAGGGGTAAATCCAAGGGGTGGTCACTCTACACACTTATTTTGCGCCAACAATTTTCTCAGTGTACCTCAGTGTGCCACAGCTGTACGGGTAGTGCCAAGAAGTCATTGAACTGACATTTATTTGCTTGTGAATAATGCCTTGCTTGGCAACCCGATATTTTAACAGCTCTTGTTTTTGTTTTGTTTTTCAATGTTTTCAAAAACGACACGGACTCCCGTTGGGACTTTACACTGGATGCATCCGTCTCCAAGGATGCCTGCAACGGACGAGCTCCGTTGCTACACGATCCTTCCATCTTCGGCGGAAGGCCGACCCCGCACGTTAATCATTAGTCAACCAGCCCTTCTGGGAGCCGGCGGAGGAAACGGATTTGCACCGCACGAGTATCATCCGTCGGAAAACTGGAAACCAACACCGACCGGAACACACGTCGGGCTGATGAAAGACGCACCGCTGACCCAAAACGGACCAGTCAACTTCATTCAACCGGCACAACAACAGGGCGCAGTGATGATGGTCTACGGACTCGATAACAACACAGCCAACACCGATAAGCTGTTCAATCTGTTCTGTCTGTATGGAAATGTTGTCAAGATCTCGGTCAGGATAAAGTTCCTGAAGACCAACGAGGGTACCGCTATAGTCCAGATGGGAGACGCCATCGTAGTTGAACCAGTCGAACGCAGCATCCAGCACTTGAACAACATCGAATGAATGGAAATGATGGTAGCAAAATTCAAATTGCATTTTCCAAGCAGAGCTACTTTTCAGAGTCCACCAACCCGTACACCCTGCCAGACATTTCGATCAGCTTCAAGGTCTACAGCGCCTCCAAGAACAATCGCTTCTCAGGCCAGCAAAAATCGCATTCTCCACTTCTTCAATACCCGTATGCCATCCGAGGCTGGGCTGCTGACTGCATTCACCACCAAGGACTGCCACCCGTCGCAAGTGCGAATGTTCCCACTGAAATTGGAAAGTTCCTCGACCGGATTGGTCGAGTTTTCAAGCACCCCAGCAAACGCCATCATGAAGTGCAACCACAGCGTGGTCGATCACAAATGCACAAAATTCCCGTTCATTATGAAGTTGTGCTTTTCCTCATCCAAGAAGATGAACGGTGCGTGGAGCAACGAGAACACGTTAGCTTTGAAAGAACGGAAGTTTGTTTTTCTGAGAACAGAAAGGATTTTCCTTTTTCTGTGTGGTTAATTTTATAATTCGTAATTATAGGTAATTTCTTATTGTGTTAGTTGGAAGTTCAAAAAGTCAAGAGAGTAAAAATAATTTGTTGAACTAGGTATTTGAGATTTTGCCAAGACGGTCCTCCAACATTATACGTTGAACGATGGAATGGTTGGTGTAGCAGCAGCCACCGCCATAGATGTATTCGAGCAGTTCGAATAGTCAGATAGTATAGTTTTTGTTTGGTTGTTGACTTTCCGATTAAATCTCAAGCACCGCTTGTCGAGACCGGACCGAGATTTCCAGCGTCGGCCACGGCTACACGAATTAGCGATGCAGCTCCCATGGCTGCAGCTGCTTCCAATGCTGTTGCTGCTGCTGATCCTTCTGGTGGTCCGTGTCCTCTAAAATTCGCCAAAAAAGACGGACCAGCAGCAGCATTGAAAGCAGCCGCAGCCGTGGGAGCTGCATCGCTAGTTCGTGTAGCCATGACCGGAAACCTCGGTCAGGTCAAGATACCGATGTCAGCTGTTCTTCGTCTGGGAGGAAATGTGGATGCGACTGCCGTCACGGGTGTAACGATTTTGAGAATCCATGGTGAGACTTGGTGGAGATTCACGATTGTTTTGAAAATAATTTGATTATATTATGGCAACATCAATAAAAAATTTTGACACATGCACACTGCGCAAGCACAGAAAAAGTTCAGTGTTGCCAGTAACTTTAAAGATCATAAAAATTGTAACCATGGGTGCCAAACAGTACCAATGACTTCGCCCGGATTGTGCCCAAGTTTGATTTTGGCACACTGTGTAGAGTGACCAACCCCTTGGGTAAATCACTTTGCCATCTTGTGTTAAACACAGCAAAAGCACATTTCGACGCACTTCAGACACCCTTCGGCCTCAGGAAAAGTTAACTTTTTCATCATTTTGGCACCACTGCCAATAATGTTTACGTTTGATGATTTTATGATTTTTTTTTTTCGTTTTTATTCCAAAGGAGAGAGAACTACGACAGTCGGTTTGTTGGACCTCGATGGGCAAACAGATTTTGAAGAGACGCTCTATTTCAGTCAACATAATTCGGAGAAAACGTCTAAGAATTCGACAGTGAGCATGCATAAAGCCGTACGCGATGATCGATTTTCTCTTTGCATTGCTACAGCTAAACGAAATAATTATCTAGATTTTTTTCAATGCTGAGTTGTAACAGGTTGTATTGACTATCAAAAACAACAGCAAACGCACCGATAAACGGTAATTCTAGCGAGTTATTAACAAAAGAGAAACTCGAATCATCGCATTTACGAAGAGAATCAATCATCGCTGTTTGCGCACGAGGCGAACGTTTTGTGTGATTTTCTTGTATCTATTCTTTTTAGTGCTGATTAGATTGATCCCCGTTTTCCGCCTCATACTATTTGGCAAAGTTCCATCTATTAACCCCGAGCTGACCGCGGGTAATTGGTCACCCCACTAGCTTCAACCCTTTTCCACTTCAACACACGCACTACCGAAAGTGAGCATGTTGACGCAAGCTTTGGCTCCTCCCACTAGAAGGATTTCGCGCAAAGCGCATATACGTGTGCCAACCATATCGAACGGATCATTTTAATACAAAGTTTTAAACTAAACAAATACGCCTTCTCCTTTGCCGTGACAAGCCGAAAACAATCCCCTAATAAACGGGTACCATACACTAACAATTTCATAGATGGTACGACCATACCACATAAAGTTGAGATGATATCCCGAATTGGTGGTTAGGCTCCTCTAATGGTTATTGTTTATGCGGGTCAGCCTTTCCCAAGGCTCACAATGGGATAATCCCTGCTAGTCGAGCATTTCGTGACCCCCATCCAAACCTTTGGTATTCCCCTTGAAGAGGGAATTGGCCGTACAGCTGGGATTCTCCGAGCCGAGGATTTCCCACACCATTTTCAGTGTCCGTGAGCGGACAATCACATTTACGCCCTTATGCATGCTCACTGTCGAATTGTCAATACGCTTTTAACCCAATCCAAATAAAAATTCAAGATAAAAGTAGAGGTAAAAGCGCCTTGATTGCACCAATCCACACACCATTCGTGTTTCTTCAATGACTCAATCCATTCAAATAGAACCGCGAATTATTCTCCGCCACCAGTGGTTGCTGCTATTGCGGTGGCGTTCCAAAGTCGTTGAAATTTCTACCAGTAGTCAGGTCTCACAATTTAATCTCTTATTCAGCTCCTTTGGCTTCGCTTTCCTGGTGTTCGTTCTCCAGTTCCCTCGAAAAACCGGTACTGTGGACTGTATTAGCTCAGCCCCGAATTCTCCCACCGGTTGTGATTTTTAAATAATTTAAAATTTTTAAAAGTAAGGAGATTTCTCAGACAACAAAGCTCTTTCATAATTTATATTGCCTTGGTTTGCGTCTCACCTCATTTGACAGATCTGATCGCCCGTTTAAAAGTTCGAATCGCTCGTTTGACAATTCGAATTGTGGACAAACGAAATGCTCCTGTGGCATGTCGGTTCGTCGGTGCTTCAACCTCACTCCCTTTAAATTCAGCGTAACAATTTAATAACATATAATATATTATATAACATTAACTATCCAAAAATCCTGTGCGTTACGTAATGTTTAACGGGCCCATTTGTTTGGTAACGTTTTCGCCTTTATTTTGGGTAGCTTCGTGGGTAACGGCTTCCACAGCACAATCCTGCACATTTTATGCTATACTGTCAAAAAAGCGTCAAAATTTATGTTTGGGTTGGTGTGCTCGATTTGGGTCTAACAATATCGATTTTCTATCTCATTCGTTCTCATGCAATGACTGATGGTAGGTTTAATCTGTTTGAAATATTAAACAACCATAGAGTGAAAGAGACGACCAACATCTCACTGCCAGACCTTTTAGTTTGACATAGGAGAACCGAGGATTCTGGTTGTCGAAGTTAAGCTCAGTTTAGCAGTCACCATCATTGAGAATCAACGCAAAACTGCGTACTCCCGTGTTCGTTTCAGTCGTGAATTTTACTCGCCCCGTAAAAGCAACTGAAAATAGTGAAAATTCCCATTGCAAAAGTGAAGCAACCACATTTAATCCGCAGCATCTGTTCTGCTGAAGGTGGCACCTGGTCACTGGCAAGGGCCGTGTCCGAAAAACGAAAAACAAACAGGCTCTAATCTTCCTGTAATCTGGGTTTGTGTGGCCAAAAAAGGTGTGCAGGAAAAGTCATCGCCGTCCGTTTATGTTTCCAACGTAGGATCAAATCGACTTGAAAAACAGCGGAAAAAAACTGCCCATTATCGAACATCGGATATTACTCATCGAATAGTACCCACTGCGGGGAATATTTGCTCACTCGGCTTATCCGCTTGATCGCAAGTTTATCAAGTAGAAATAAGGCAGAGTGTATTTTTGCGAGAAGTTCTTGAAGATCGATCGTATAAAAAAAAAATGAAAAGCTTGTGTGTGTAGTGCGAGCTCTTGGGAAATCTCGGTGGTTTCACTGCTGTTGTTTTATTTTTTATTTGCAATCGCAGCAGAAGAAAATGTGCATGGTGTTTCCGAAGGCTTTTGGAAGAGTTTCCTAAATAGTGAACGTGCAGCAATAGAGAAATAATTTTTTGCTGAAAAGTGCTTTTATTATGATTATTCTTTGACGAAGCTTGAAATTTGCTACAACTGTAATTGTGTTTAGTTTGTTTTGTGCATTGTGACTTAAGTCAAGTTAGTAACATCGTTTTGATAAGGAGAAAAAGTGGAAAATATAACCACTTGCAGGAGGGATACACAAGATAAAAACAAAACAGTGAAGCAGTCTGCCTGCGCAAAAATCACTGCAGCGGATATTCTCTCCAGCCACGATGGATTCCCTGCGAAAATGGTTGAATAAGCCAAAGGTTAGTAATAGTGCCCATTACTACTACCACAACTATTTCCTCTTGTATATAATGGTATACCTACTATCATCCCATCAAAGGCGGTTGTAAATTATTACATTCGCGAGGCGAAAAATGGGAGTTCGCTCGAAGTGCAGACATTTGGGATTTCGATGGAAAAGCCATGGTCAAAATTATAAATCCACTTATTTTGCTGCCAATGAGTATGTATAAGTGTATGTGTACAAAATAATAAGTCTGCCTCTATTTCAATGTGTGTCTGTGGGATAGACTGATTGCGAAAGTTTTTTTTTTTCATTTTTGGCTCCGCGAACAAGATTCGTTCGAACGTGGAAAACATGAGAAAAAACAGCATTGCTTTGGTGTTGCCAGAACAGCTTTAGTTTTGTAATTGTAATTTTGAATCCATTGTTCGCAGTGCAGAATATGATAATAATGTAAGATATGTCTACTTAGTAGAATCAATGGATTTATTTTATTTATTTATTTATTTTCTTCAATCAGACTATTATATGTTTTGCATAATTTGTCTGTGTTTCTGTATTATTTATATTATAAACTATTTTCACGCGTTAAAATTACGAATAGAATAAATTGTTTTAATTTGATTTTTGTCATTGTTAAGTCAGTTTCGCAATACTTACTGTAAGTAGCAATCATTTGATTTAGTGCTCCAAACTAAGCATAATTTGTAAGATGGCGGTTTGTAGTAAATATATTTTGATTTCGCAGTTGCCAAGAAGGTATGTAAACATTTAACTTTGATAAGAGTTCTGCTAAGGCAAAACGATCCGAAACGATATCGTTTACAAATATTTTGCATAATTCAACGAACACGCTGTGAAGTACATAATGATGATGCATGATAATTTCATGTTAGGATTGTCCTCAAATTTGGAGAACAAAGAGGTGCTTAAACCCCGTATGATCGTTATACCCCTTCCTCTCCTACTACGCTGACATATGAACCAAAATTTTGTTCAATATTGAAAGTACCGTCTTCTGATAACGAAAACCCGGCCGCACGCTGGATTTGGTATTTTGCAACGGTGAAAATGATTTCGATATCGACGAATCCGCTGTGCCGCCTTCACCTATTGATGCTCACCATCCTTCCTTAATTATGTCGCTACCTGCTCCACTTGACTGGCCATCGCACCCAGCTTGCAACGTGGATGATATGGCAGGGTTTCTAGACTTCAAGAAAATTGATTATCACCCCTATTCTGTATTTCGTTTCGAACGAAATTCTCATTCCATAAAATATTTTTTTGTATGAGAATTTCGTTCGAAACGAAATACAGAATAGGGGTGTATGTCTCATTATTGCAGTATCTTTTTGATCAAGACTGGGCCGATGTGTTTGAATGCATTGATGTTGATGATATGACTGTGCGTTTCTGTAGCATTATTCAACATTGGTTGGAATCAAATGTTCCTCTCAAAAGACGATCAATTCCCCCAGCTTGGAGTACTCCCCAGCTTAGAGTGCTGAAGCGTGAACGTAACGCCGAGGGAGAAGATGGAGAGTACCTCTCAAATTCTCTTTTACTCAGAGTTGTTCAGAGCTACTCTGGTTTGCTCGAGGATCTGATCTAATTTGCGACAAAAACAGAATTAGTTTGGCATATATACATTGAAATCTGACCATGCAAATGTTCGGATGCAATATTTGAGGTTCATGGAATCCCTCCACTTCGGGTTTTCGCTGGCACTGGCAATCCAGAAGTCATACTGTTTATTGTTTATTGTTGTTTTATATCAACAGGCTGGATGAAGCCCCAATGATGTTTACCTTATCAACTATGGTAAAAAAAAAATACATTCAAGCATGGTCATAACATAAAAAACATTAAAAACATATATCTTATAGTCAGTTACTCTGCCGGCGAAAAACAGAAGAAAACTTTCGACGAAGCGCATCACGGGAGAGATGAAAGTCGAAAACAGATGCAACTCTGTTAATTTGTGCGACGTAGAGGCAGTCTTAGCATAAGGTTATTACGAAGCGGTCGGGGTTGAACATTCAGGTCAATTTGCCTCAGGATAGCCTCACAATCTGTCCTTCCTTGTAGGATATCGGCCACGGTTAGGGCTCTGCTTGTGTCTCTTCTAGTCCGGAGAAGTTCTAGGTCGATAAGTTGACAACGGCTTTCGTAACTTGGTAATCGAAACGGATCACGCAAACGCAAAACGAAGAAAGCGACGTTGAACAGATTTAATTCTCTCGGCACCGTTGTTGTAGTTTGGGTTCCAAACCGCTGAACAATACTCAAGCGTCGATCGAACAAGCGAGCAATAGAGAGATTTTAGACAGTAGATATCAGTGAAGTTTTTAGCTATGCTAAAAATGAACCCTAAAGTTCTTGACGCCTTATCAACAACATATGCAATGTGTTGCTTGAATGAAAGCTGCGAATCCAAGATCACACCCAAGTCTTTCACCTGATTCACGCGTTCGATTGTCGAGCCAAGCAGGTCATAGCTAAATATTATCGGTTGTTGTTTTCGTGAGAACGTAATAGCGGAGCATTTGGCTGGGTTCACTACCATTCTGTTTTACCTGCACCAACTAGCGAATACATTCAGTTGACGTTGAAGAAAGTGACAGTCAGCAATGGAGCAGATTCGTAGGAAGATTTTGAGGTTATCTGCATATGATAACCGAGGAGCTTCGATGACCAGATGCGCGTCGTTGATGTACAGTAAAAAATTAACGGTCCCATGTGGCTTCCCTGAGGTATACCGACCGGTAAGATATGATCGAAACCAACTCAGAAGATTACCGCATACACCGAGTCTGCCGAGTTTAGCAATCGGAATAGCATGGTTCAACTTGTCGAATGTTGCGGATAGGTCTGAATAAATAACGTCCGTTTGAACCCGATCCGACATGCTTTCGGTTATATACGATGTGAGACACAGCAGATTGGTAGTTGTAGAGCGGCCGACAGTAAACCCATGTTGATCAGCACTCCAATACTGCTTGCAATGGGACAGCAACGGTTCCATAATCACTAGCTCGAATAGCTTCGAAACGGCACTTAACGATGTAATTCCTCGATAGTTATCCACAGCTCGTTTCCTTCCTTTTTTGTGGACGGGAAACATGTGCGCAAATTTCCAGCAAGATGGAAATATGCCACTGGAGAGAGACATTCGGAACAGGCGAAGAAGCGGAATCAACAAGCTAGCAATATGTCTCTTCAAAAATACAGATGGATCTCCATCAGGTCCAGGATTGAAGGATGACTTGAGCAGAGTCGCGGCCTTTGAAATCATTTCTGCATTAACATCAATTGCACCCAGCGTTTGATCGTTTACTGGAACGTTCCTGGCAGCCAGGTTAATATGGTCTTCAGTTAGTATCTCATTAGTGTATACACTGGCAAACTTTTCGGAAAAAAGGTGGCATATATCCTGAACGGTGGCAGCAACTTCTCCGTTGAATTCCATAGACGATGGGAGGCCGGATTCCCTGCGTTGCTCGTTCACGTAGTTCCAAAAGGATTTCGGGTGTAGCTTAAGTTTGCGCTATAAGGAAACTTGAAAAGCATTCACGACTGACTCGCTGGTACATGTGATTCAGCCTCACATAATGTAGTTTCAGAGGAAGCGTGCGATACTTCGTAAATCTTCTAAATGCTGCTCTCTTGATTGACTTTAACCTACGTAGCTCTCTCGTCTGCCAGGGAGGGTGAGACACTTTGTGGTGAGTTCTTTTCGGGACGTGTCTGTCAATGACATATGCCAAGACATGTGAAAAGGTTTGCGCTGCAGCCTCAACGTCATCTGGATCAAGGATGTTCTCCCATACCATGCTAGACAATACATCTATGATGCTACGGTGGTCAGCTTTACGGAAGTCATAAGAAACCGTAGCAGAATAGTCGTCGAAATCACGCACGAGTTTGTCCTCAACAGTGACAATTAGAGGAGGGTGATGTGGAACTAGCTTAGATAGTGCACAAGGAGCTGAGGAAATTGATGGAGCCCTGTCCTGTGTGCTCACGAAGCAGAGGTCCAAACTACGACCATTTTCGTTAACTACATGGTTAATTTGAGAAAGCGTCGCTGCGCTGTAGTTGTTGTGAAGGCTAATAGCTCCTGCGTGAAATGTAGAGCTATCCGGATCTGGGTACAGGAATCCGCTATGAGATGGACTCCACGAAACGCCTGGCAGATTGAAGTCACCAAAAATGAATATCTCATCAACTGGAGTGGCACTTTCGGTAACTGTGAAAACTGACCAACAGTGAGTATCGATGAGTTCATTGTCGCGGACTCGATCAGGTGGAATGTACAGAGCGAATAGAAATAGTGTGCGATCACCCAGGTTGATGGCTGTCCAAACCTGCTCCACATAGTTCCATGAATCGTTCTCGCCTTTGCCTCCAACCCGCTACGGACAGCTACAAGGACACCTCCACCAGTATATTTGCGGCTGTTGTTAGGATTCCGATCGCAACGAAAGACCTCGGAGGGATTGGGGGCTTCCATTGGGCTTTCTACGGCGCGTTCCGGGTTTCCAGGATTAGGAGTTACAGAGGCATCATCACAATGACTAACATAGATAGAATTGCTGAAAATTTGATCGGCATCAGGCAGTGAATAGTTAATATATTGATTGTACTTGCTTGTAGAGGCAAGGTGGAAGACTCCTGATTCATATCCAGCCACAGGTCCAGGACGACTATGCTGAACGCTGGCGGGAATCGGCACGACTGGGCTGGAGTAACCAGGAGCTTCCAAAGAGCGGTCTATTGTGCGTCCCGGAGATGAATTAGGATTGTTCGAACAGTAAAGCGGATGTTGTGAATGAGCAGTATCAGAAGTGCTTCTCAACTGGAAACAGCCGGCAGGTGCTTGAGGCGTTGCACTGGAACACGGAAACTGATCAGGCAAATGACTGTAACTAATGTATGCATACTTGCCTGAAGACGATGCTTGGGAGACCCTACCACCGAACTGGACCGCAGGGCCAGAACGACTCTGATGGCAGGAAATAGAACGACTTTGATGGCGGGAAACAGCTAGCGCGACTGGATCGAGTGGTTCGAGGTCTCCCATAATGCGACAGGCATTGCGTTCTGGTCTACAGCGCTCCGATTCACAACGCAAAATCTAATTCTGAATCAGCAGACTGGGTCTAGTCCGGAAATGGGAGTTGAGGACTCGGAAGGTCCCGTAATAGGAGAGATCGTGATGGTAGGCGTGTTCAAACGAGGCAACCACATGTTTTTTGAACCGTCTTCAAATTCACGGAACAAAATTCCTTTCGGCCATGTATCCGATCTAAGAGCAGCTTCGCGTAGTTTGGGATCCATTCCGACTTTGTACGAGATGAAGCTCATACGGCTGATGTCGGATCCTTTCTTGACTACCGGCACAACCTTAATCGGATCTTCGCACTGTACACAACCTTTCACCAGCTTCTCGATGGATTCCGATTTCACGCTAGGATGAATACGAGAAAGGTACAGCCAAAACAGCTCGGTGGGTTCAGGGACAGTAAGGACCTCGGTAAAGGCATTGTCGCCTGTTACTGCTTTAGAACCACCAACAAGTGGTTTGCTAGTGAGCGAGCTTTCATCGCGGCGCCGTTTTAATGGCGGTTGACGCATGAAATCAGAGTTTGTCGGAGTTGTCAATGCGATTCGTTTTGATAGCTGAGCGATCTGCTGTTCTTGCTAAGCCATTTCCTTCCTAAGCTCAGCGTGTGCGATTTCCTGTCTCTCGGTGATAGAATTAATCACACTGCCAAACGACGAGACGGCAGTTTTGAATCGAGCACATTTCATCAGCTTTGCGCACTCGTTACACATCCAAAACAGGTTCGGGCTAGTGTGGACAATGTTCAGAAAAGCCTTATTCAGCTTTGTGCCGCCACACTTTAGGTGAATCATCCTGTCGCAAAAAGCCATGCAGGAGACGGATTCTTCATCGCCTTCAACTGGCTTAGCGCATTGGTCACAGGCGGAAGTCATGCTGACTCAGTTTCCAAAAGTGATTTAGAAACAGCGGTGGAGATGCTCTAATACGCAAAGAGGAATTGGATTCTCGAGATCGCCCAATGCTAGTCGTGTACAATATGTCCGATTGGATAATTTTTTCACTGTTTTCACAACACAAAATATGCTCTAATTAGCCGATTATCGTAACGAACTACACTTTTCACTAACAACCAGTACAATATTACAAGTATACCGAACGGAAAAAAACCGAATAACGATAGCCCGTGAAATATAAAAATAACAAATTTAGCAGCGCAAAATCATGACGATGTGAATAACAACAACTCTATAGTGTTCACATACAGGTGGGTACATTTAATGAAATGCTTGCCTCTCTGCAGCAGACATGTAGATTAATTTTGAACTTTGTCCATTAAGTAGATCGCCAGATGTGTGCCCGTGAAATTGCGAAGTGGTTAAACCAAATTGTGTGGAAAATGGATTCTGTCATTAGTGTCCTTAAATAATGGAAATGATCTCGTTTTCTACCAGTTGTTCCTTTGTCCCTCCCACTCAACCCTTGTGCCATCCATGACTACTGTCCGGCATGCTTGGCATACACAGTTTTGGTCACGAACAGCTCATTTGCTAATAACTTTACACAGAGTTGACGAAACATCGTTCTTTTTGAAGCAGTAGATATAATAGAGTTTAAGCTTGTTATAGGTACATAAAACAAAGTAGATTTCAATTCTAGTAATAACCTGTGTTTGTTTTTGCGTTGTAAAAATGAAGTGAGAAATGCTCGCTGCACATCTCGGACTTTAAAAGTAAAAATTCATTGGTCTTGATTCAAATGTTAAGATTTAACTACTTTTTGCATATCTATAGTAAACTATGAGCCTAATCTATCAATTACTTTAAAGAAAAATAAATATCAACATTTGAGTGAAAAGTTATTAACAAATGAGCAGTTGGTGTGTACAACTGTGTATGCCAAGCATACTGTCCGGCCTTAACTCTTCTATTATCAACTCTGCTAGCAATCATATCCTTATATTGAGGACCTCAACCATAACATAACGCTGAAAATGTCAAATCCCTCTGTGACTCCTTTGCTGTTGTTGGTGTGCAGATTAGTCCTGGACACGGGCATTGACCCTCCCGCTACAGGAGGACGGCGAATGAGCATATGCCACCTGGGAAGAAGGACCAAGCAATGGGTGCACCTTGCAATTAATTGGTAGGGTCGTGATTGGACTGCTGCTGGTAAGAACTTAGGATTTACAATAAGAAATTGTTCCGTTGCATTTGTCATAGAGGTTTTGGCTATTTTCTTAAATCACTGGCGATGGCTTTCTGGCTGGATGACACTTTTCGTTTTGCAATGGTAATGAAATTGTACAGGATCTTGCCACCTTAATACTGTTGAGCATGCGGATGCTTAGAGTAAGCGAATAGATAGATATTGCCTTCCAGAAACCAGCTCCGGTGAGGATATGTACTTGAGGATAAGTCCTGCGAGTTCCAAACTCCTATAAATGTGATTGCTTGGGCTGCGCTGTCAAAACAATTGAGATAATACAACCAACCGGTGAACACTCGTGTTTATTTCAGTTACTCTGGGGACGTAGCTTGTGATTAGCCCCGGTCCCTTTCAAATTGTTTCATTATTTATGTACGGTCCTTATATTTGAAATGACGTTTCACATTCATCTAGTGATGGCCGATTTTCATTCGAATAATCGATTAATCGATTAACGAACCGAACAGTAAAATATTTGTAATCGGTTATATCATGCCGAAATAAGCATTAACTTCTTCAGAGGATCATCACCGATCGTTTCAAACAAGTTTTGCACTCTCATTGGTGGAAAAATGACAGGACAGCGAACAAAAAATATTCGATTAGTTGTTAATCGAGTAATTACAAAATGGGACATCTCTGATTTTGGTGTGATTGTTTTGATAAAAAAGCGCGCAAAATTTCATCTCTGCCTAGGGGGCAGCTAAACCACTAAATTACCTTGCATACTGGGGGTATTCATTGGATGAAAGGGACCGTGAAAGTGGACACTAAAATTGACAGTTTTTCTTCCGACAGTTTCATCTTAGTATTCATCTTTGATACAACCGTTCATCAGAGAGCAAGAGAGTACCTCAGAGTTACTCTGGATTGCTCTGAGTTTCTCACTGTCTTCCCCCTCGCGTATTGCAGTCCAGAGAAAACTACGTCGTAACAGAAAAGCTGACACGAAGCGTGACTTCAAGCGTGCCAATACAAATCACACGTCCTCAGAGTCCAGTGAACTTTGTGGCATAACCCCCGAAATTTTTGGAGCTTTGTCAACAGCAAAAGGAAAGATGCGAGTATACCGTCAAACATGCTACTCGATGGAAAAGAGTCCACTTCTCTTAGTGAAGCGTGTGAGATGTTTGCTAAACACTTTGCTGTCTTCGATAAAAATACGAAACTGAATCTGACTTAGTGGAACTGAGCACATTCGAAGGTACTTTCAGCAGCAAGGAGACTGAAAACCTCACTCTCTCCTGGTCCAGATGGAATTCCGGCAGTGGTGTTCTGCAGTTGCTCAGCTGCCTTAGCAGAACCTTTAGCAGCCATATATAATGCATCCTTTGAGCAAGGAAAATTCCCAACATTGTGGAAGCAGTCGTTTATCTTTCATGTTTTCAAAGCTGGCAATTAACGGGATATTAAGAACTATCCAGGTATCACCAGTCTTTCGGCAGCATCCAAACTGTTTGAGATCATCTTGAGCGAATTTGTCCTGAATCGCTTGAAGAACTACATTTCAACTGACCAGCATGGATTTATTCCCGGTAGATCGGTAGCTACTAACCTTTTGGATTTCACCAGTACATGCATCACCGCGATGGAGAATAAGGCACAAGTCGACGTCATATATACTGATCTGAAAGTCGACAAAATCGACCAGAAGGTTTTGTTATGCAAGCTTTCCCGACTAGGAGCGTCTGAGCAACTTAGATCGTGGTTACATTCCTACTTGACTGGACGAACTCTTCGAGTACGACAAGGATCTTGTGTTTCTTCTACGTTTACCAGCACGTTGTTTACGTTATTCTTCAACGATGTAGCTAGCTTTGTTGGGAGTTAAATGCAAGCTCGTTTATGCAGATGATCTTAAGTCATACGTCATAGTTCACTCGATTGAGGATTGTCATCGCCTTCAAGCTCTGCTAGATTTGTTTGTGGATTAGTGCCGTCGCAATAAGCTCATCATCAGCGTTCCAAAGTGTTCAGTGATGACGTTTCATCGCTCTAAGAGTTCAATCCTTTACGACTACTGCATTGACAATGTAACGTTTCGCAGAGTAGAACGTATGACTGATCTTGGTGTTCTTTTGGACCCAATATTGACCTTCAATCTTCACTATTCCTCGATCATCTCTAAGGCGAATCGTCAACTGGGATTTATTTCGAAGATTGCACGAGATTTCGATGACCCTCACTGCTTGAAGGCACTATATTGCTCTTTAGTTCGGCCCTTACTTGAGAATGCATCTGTGGCTTTGCGCAGCATGCTGTGGTGCGATCTAATGAATTTACCACCTTATTCAGACCGATGCATGCTATTGGACCTGGACACATTGGAACACAAAAGAAAAATGCAACAAACCTTATTTGTAGCGAAACTTTTAAATGGCGATGTGGATTGCCCTCAATTGCTTTCACAATTAAACTTCCGTGTTCCTCAAAGGATGTTGCGGCAATCATCCGTACTACAACCAAGATACCATCGGACTGCAAATGGATACCATGAACCAATGTCTGCGATGATTCGGGCATTCTCCGCTGTGGAGAAACATCGAACGAATTTCGAAACCATTTGAGAAGATTGTGATTATTTTTGTAATCTGTTTATCTGTTGCTTTTTTCTAAGTTTTATTCATTAAGACAACTACTCAGATGAATTTTAATAAATAAATAAATAAAATAAATAATTAAACAACAAAACTGCCTGTTGTGTTATCATGAAATACAACCTTCACTCTCTTCTCTGCTTCAGATACCTAATTTAAAACTAATGCTGGAGCTACTGAAAAAATTAAAGTATTTTTTGAGAATTGTTTTATCCCGCAATATAACATTTGAAAACGGCCCAAACGCTTTTGTAATCAAAAGTTGTTAGACCCTTTACACGTTAACCGAAATACGCACACGCAAACCAATTCCACTATCGGAAAGAGGAGAATTTCCCGTACCCGATGATGTTGTTGGTTTGCGTGGGCTCTGCAACTTTTGTTTACAACGAAAACGGCGCCCAGGGCTGGTAGTGAGTCACTTTTTAGTGACTTGGTCACTTTTTTCAAGCCAGTCACTAAAAAGTCTCTTTTTTTTAAGGTGAAGTCACTAAAGTCACTTTTTGTTGTAATTCTTATCATTCTGCAGGGTGTCTACTCATTTTTCTATATAAAATTTCCTGAGTTTTCCAGGTTTTTCCTGAACTTCAACGGATAAATTACAGCCTTATAATAAGAAAGCTATTTTTAAAATGCGTTCAAAATATGATTTTTCTGGAAGATCAAAAACAACAGTAATTAACCCAAACGTTTTTAAGACATGGCAATCTGTTTTAAAGAAACAACTTTATAATCAAATCCATTGAATGTTGAAGTTTAGCATTTACTTAATTTCTCACTTTAATAAAGTTAAAAAAAAACGTGCTTAATTTGAGTAAGTCCAAGATCTAAAAATATTCAATGTCTTGTAGTTTCGTATTCCATGTTCAAGATATTGAAAAATTTCAAAGTGCCTGAATTAAGGAAAAAAATTAAATGATTTCTTTCAAGTTCATAATTAACTTTATGAAAGATAAGAGATCTTCATAAGCCTTCATAAGAGTCTCATTAACTTCACAACAATTGTAGGAATTTTGAAGAAGTTCTGAGGAATGAAAGGAAATGCTGAGAATTTCTGTGAAGCTCCATAAACAAACTACGGTAACGTAAGAGAAGTTAACACACTGAAATTATGAGGAACTTACTGGAAGCTTTAAGATCCTCAAATCGGTTCTTTTACCATCCGAAAATTTTCAGGAACTTTAATGAAGTTCCTAGAATTTCAGAGCACATCACAGGAGCGAACTTGAGAAGAATAGAAACCTTGAGGGGTATTGTGCAGATTTTAAAAAAGTTCTAAGCACCTCAGAAAAGCTAGATCTAGTGATCTTTGGGGAACTTCAGATTTTAAGAGCAGTTCCCATGACTTTAGTTCAGACTTTTTGGAGCAGTTCAAATATCTATGATCGTAAATTTAGAAAAATTGAGAACCCTTAAGATGTTCCGTGAATTTCAAAGAAGTACAGAGACCGTCAAAGAATTTATGAAAACTTCAGAAATATTTCAGGAACTTTACAGAAGTCCAATGAATTTCAGGGAAAGTTATCCTCAATCGAATTGAGAGCTTTAGGGAAGCTTCGAGAACATCAAGACAGATCAGAGAATCAAAGCGCAGTTCAAATAATTTCAAGAAATTGTAGAAACCTTAATAGAATTTCTGGAACGTGATAAAAATTAGATGAACATCCGGAAAACGTGAGAGTATTTTAAGGGTGTTATATCATGAAGATTTCAAGAACTTTAAAAAATACGGATATTTAGCTAAGTTGAGTAGATTCCATTAATTAAAAAAATGCGAGAGTTTTTAGCAAGCAGCGATAAACATCTTCAAGAAATTCCAGAGAACTTAGAATTTAGATAGTTTCATGATATTCAGCGAAGTTCCGAGTTGCTGCAGAATAATCCCATTAACTTAAGCAAATTTGCTTGAGCTTGAGCTTGATTGACCGCCCACGGTTGCTACTCTGTTACTGCCAAATCAGCTGTAATTACACAGAGAACCAATAGACGATGCTTGGGACTAGCAATCATCCTCAATGTGTAAAAACTGGTGATCTTAAATTAGGCAATACCAGCGCCGGCCGCGCCCGAACACAGGTCAAGAAAGGAATGGGAAGGATTGTGTTGACATGACACTCGCTTTGATGGAAGCCGAGAACACCTCTGCACTTCCACGAGGAATCACTGGGATGTTGGATAAGAGGGTTGGGTTTGCAGCAGGGTTCGTTTTGGTAAACGATAAGCTGAATTGATGTCCTAACGATCATATAACGCGAAGGAGCTTGGGACTAAACCCACGGTCTTCTGCTCAGTAAGCAAAAACGTTTGCCACTAGGCAGACGAGCACCTTTTTAATCACCGAGTTGCTGTTGATTGACGAATCTTGAATGTGGATGGGCCTAAGATTAGACTCATGATGTTCAGCTCAGTAAGCAAAAACGCACATAATACCGTTGCTCTAATTTGTGTATCCATTCAAACCCGGAACAAACGACAACAACGAGTTTCGCAAAATACACGATACACAAGCGATTTTACAATAAATCTCTTTGATATGTAAGGACCTGGGACAGCGTTTTTCTGCTCAGTAAGCAGGCCACTGTAACCGACGATCTTTCAAATCCGAAAACTAAAAACTACGAAAAAGTACTTAGGCCTTCATTAAGTTCCACTTTCACGCGACGTTCAATGACAGGGTCCTATCCAGGATTACATCTGAAAAATCCAAATCTGGCCAACGCCCACCTAAACCTGTTCTAATCCACCTGAAATTACTAACGAATGGAAGACTTTGACTACCCAGCCATGCAATAGTCTCATTCCGTGCCTTATGGAAACTTGATGATTCTATTGCGCTCATCTTTTGGCACCACCCAGGGGAGACTTGGTCCTGTACCCAATGCTTAACTTATCTCCATTCCACTCAGCTACTCGCAATTTCTTGTGATATAGTGGGCGGAATATTATTATTTAATTCAATGCAGACGTCTTTCCTAATTTGGCAGATCGACAGGTAATCGGTGAGTTACCACGATAGTTGCTATTCAACAACTCGACAACGTCCCATCGTCAACGCCTGCTATGAGAATTTCCCATAGCAGACGCCAACGAAATGACGTCATCGAGCTATCGATCAACTACCCTGGTTATCGCCTGGTACCTTATAGCACGATGCTAGGAGGCGAACCGGAAGAATCGATGAGCTACCTCCCCCCCCATTAACTTAAGCAAATTTGCAGAGAAATTCTGTGGAATTATGGGGTATTCGAAGTATTCTATGACCGATCCAAAAACGTTAGGGAATTTTGAACATATATATCAGAAAATTTGCCGGATTATTAAACAAATTTAGAGAGCTTTAGGTAAGCATAGTTCAGGGAAAATAAGTGAGCGTTTTTAATGGTTAGAATATTTAAGGAAAATTGTCGAAACTTCAAGGCAAATCAATTAATTTCAGTAAAGTTGCGGGTTCTTAAAATATATTGATCCATTCAGGGCTGTCTAGAGAACTTTAAAGAAATTCAATAATCGGTTAGGTAGGAAAGTCTAGACTATTGAAGAAGTTTTAAATTAGTGTCGATAATTTAATGGAAGTTTCATGAACCTCAGAAAAATCATAAGAACTTCAGTGAAAGTCATAAAACTATATTAATTATTTCGCTCTAATTCCATGAAAATTGCGGGAGCACAAAAGTTCCAGAAAGTTACAAAAACTTCGAAAACTTCACAGAAGGACAGTGACATTTCGAGAACTTCATAGAAATCTATGGAGCTTAAGGGAAGATCCGCGAACTTCAGGAATTTTTATGAACATTAGCAAAATGCGGGAGCATTTGAAAGAAGTTTAGTAAGCTCCGAAAATTGGAGGAATTTCAGGGAGAGGTCAGTTCCATTAGTTTCAGAAAATTAGTGGTAAATTTAAAGCAGTTCCCAGATTTTCAGATAACTTCAGAGACGTTAAAAATGTAATTGAGGTCTTCGCATAAGTTCAAAAGTTAACTGAAGCTTAATCATTTTAAGGACGGTTCAATTAAATTCAGCGCAGTACAACAAGCTCCATGAGAACTGCAAAAACGTTAGAGCAGTTTTGAGAATTTCAGAAAAGAACAGAGAACCTCAGAGCAGCTTCGTTGACATTAGCGAAGTCACATAAAGTTTAAAGAAGTAAGGAGAACTTCAGCGAATTGTTAAACCTTTAGTTGAGATTCATGATCGTTAGACAAATTAAGGAAACTATAGAAAGTCCTATACAGTTCAGAGAAGTTTAAGAATTTAATGAGTAGTATTGTGAGCATCAGGCTAGTTTCTCAAACTAAAAAAGAACTTCAAGGCAGATTCATTAACTTCATTCAAAAATTTGGGAAGTTCTCAGAATAGTCCATTCCATATTCAATGGTTATTTCGATGAAACTATTCTCCGAACTCAATTTTCTTTTAGTTTTCCTCGTAATTATCTTGAAATTCTCCACAATAAGACACCCTTTGGAAAGATTATCAGAATATTCATTGAATTCATCCCAGATTTCCTTTTGAATCTCACTCCTTCCTTTGGAATTCTACTCACATTGAAAGTCTCCTAAGAAATCATTGGCATTTCTACTCACAAATTCCTTAGATTCTTCTCATAATTTGTTTGGCTAACTCTCCTGAATTTATTTTTCGAATTCCTTTGAACATGTCCTGTAGTTATTCTCAGTTTTAATTGTAATCCGTCTTTTAGTATTAAAACAAATCCAAGGACTTATGCTCCGAATTTGTTTTCTACCATAAACTTTATGAAATTATCCTCAGAATGCCATTGAAATTTTCCTTTAAAGTTCACATGAGTTGTGCTCCTCAGAAATTCCTAAGAGGTTTCAATAAAATTTACTTTAAATTCAATTCAGGGTCACTTTTTGGTCACTTATTTAGTCACTTATTTCTTTAACATGGTCACTAAAATCACTATTTTTGACAGCCTGAAGTGATCTATTTTATGAGTGTACAGTATCAAATATGTTGTCCCAAACGTTAATTCTAGTTTCTGTTTGTCCGGCAACCCTGCCGACGATGTAAAGCTTGTTGTAAATACTTTGTCCCTCCATTGCCGTCCGTCGTATCGGTGTTGGTGCATAATGTGGATTGTACAGTAGTACGCAAAACCAACACTGGTCAACACAGAATCTGTCAAAACAACACACGTTGCGGGTTCAACGTAGATCCAATGCTATCCTTGCGTGTATGGTGGTGTTTTTTTCAGTGGAAAAGGGCCATCGTTGTTTTTATCATCGTTTCTCACACGTTCCTACAGACACACAGTGAGACATGCAACACTTTTCGGTGAGTATGTGCTATGTTTTGATTCTCTGGGATTTCGAAACCGTCAGAATGTGTTTGTTCTGTCTCGCCTTGATTGTCGTTTTTTTTCGTATGTCGGTTCATTTCGTCGGTTTTGCAAAGGCAAACTCTTAGCGAATTCGTTTATTATCGGGGTTGGAACCAGTTCCAACCCAGTGCGAAACCGAACTTTTTGTCAGTGCGAACCTC